GTTTACTTTAAATCACCAGGGCATTGGGATGCTGAGCAATCAAGACCAAGAATGTCAGTGCTGGAGAGTGACAGTGGTTAAGAGCACAAACAGCTTTTGCATGGGACCTGAGTTTGGTGGCTCACAATTACATGTTACTCCAGCTCCAGTGAAATCTGGAGCCACCTATGAAGGCATCTCGTGTACACATATCACACCCCAGCACATATACATACGCATTCATTCATTCATCCTTCATTCTTTCATTCTTTTTTCTTTTCTTTTTTGGTTTTTTGAGACAGGGTTTCTCTGGTAACAGTCCTGGCTGTCCTAGAACTCAATTTGTAGACCAGGGTGGCCTCGAACTCACAGAGATATGCCTGCCTCTGCCTCTAAACTGCAGGGTTTAAAGGCATGCATTACCAAGTCCACCTTACACACACATAGACACACATACATTTAATTTAAAATAATACAAATAAATATTTAAAAAAAACCCTCAAATTGTTAAGTACAGTTGCTGACCTTTTGTTGTTGTTTTCTTTCTTTCTTTCTTTCTTTCTTTCTTTCTTTCTTTTTGAGAAAAGGTTTCCCTATGGAGCCCTGACTGACCTGGAACTCACTATAAAGGCTAGCCTGGAACTCAAACTCAGAGATCTGCCTGCCTCTCAAGTGATGAGATTAAAGGTGTGTGCCACCATGCCAGGGACAGTTGCCTTTTAAGACTTTGCCTTAAAAAAAAAACTGACCAGATGGTGGTTACCAATGCCTTTAATTCCAGCACTTGGGAAGCAGAGGCCAGTGAATCTCTGTGAGTTTGAAGCCAGCCTGGTCTACAGAACAAGTTCCAGGACAGCTAGCTAGAGCTGTTACACAGAGAAACCTGACTTCAAAAATGAAAAACAAAAAACAAGCTGGGCATTGGTGGCTCATGCCTTTAATCCCAGCACTTGGGAGGCAGAGGCAGACTGATCTCTGTGAGTTCCGGGCCAGCCTGGTCTACGCATCGAGTTCCAGGACAACCTCCAAAGCAATACAGAGAAACCCTGTCTCAAAAAAAAAATAACCAAAAAGAAGAAAGAAAACAAACAAACAAACAAAAATACCCCAAACAAACAAAACCTACACAGTTGTGCTGTGTTACAAAATTTATTTAGTTATTAAAACAATGCCATAGGTTGGAAACTATTAGTATCTTAATTGGGAGGTCTGAGTTTGAGACAGGGTGTCATATATAGTCCAGGCTGCTCTGAAAACATTATGTAGCTGATAATATCTTGAAAATTGTATCCACGATGGGCGGTGGTAGTGCATATCTTTAATTGTAGCACTAGTAGGGCAAAGGCAGCTAAATTTCTGAGTTTAAGGCCAGCCTGGTCTACAGAGTAAGTTCCAGGATGGCTAGGATTGTTCACTCATAGAAACCCTGTCTTGAAAAACAAATAAATATAAAAATAAATACAACAAAAAAGAAAATAAAAAGAAAAACTGATCCTCTTATCACCACATCCCCAGTGTTGGGATTACACGTGTGTACCCTATGCTCATCGCCTATCTCCCCTTTCAAATAACATTTATTTATGGATTTAGTATTTATTTATTATTTATTCATGGAGGTGTACTACAGCATACACAGGGAAATCAAAGGACAACTCTTGGTAGTCTGTTTTATCATCCTACCACATGGGTCCCCAGAATTGAACTCAGATCAGGCTTGGTAGCAAGTACCTTTACCTTCAGAACCATCTCACAGGCCTTGGGATCTCCTTTTTTTTTTTTTGGTGTTTTTGAGACAGGGTTTCTCTGTGGCTTTGGAAGCGGTCCTGGAACTAGTTCTTGTAGACCAAGCTGGTCTTGAACTCACAGAGATCCTCTGCCTCTGCCTCCCGAGTGCTGGGATTAAAGGTGTGCACCACCAATGCCTGGCGGGATCTCCATTTTATAGACAAAGTTGAAGATGCCTTTGATCACACAGCTAGTAAGAAAAGGATGAAGCTGACACTTGGTTCGAGCCTCGTTTGACTTTACAGGCCATTCTTGGGCTGGAGACATAACTCAGTCTGAGAAGTGTTTGCTTATCATCACCAAGTCTTAAGTTTGATCCCTAACAGTCCATAAACCAGATATTGCAGGCCATGCCTGCAATCCCAGCACTTAGGAGGTGGAGACAGGAAGATCAGATGTTCAAGGTCATCCTTATCTGCCTGGTGAAGTCAAATCCCTTTTGAGCTACTTGCGATCCTGTCTCAAATAAAAGCTAATGGGGCTGGAGAGATGGCTCAGAGGTTAAGAGCACCGACTGCTCTTCCAGAGGTCCTGAGTTCAATTCCCAGCAACCACATGGTGGCTCACAACCATCCGTTATGAGATATGGTACCCTCTTCTGGTGTGCAGATATACATGGAAACAGAATGTTGTATACATAATAAATAAATAAAATAAGAAAATAAAAGCTAATGCTTGTTGTTGTCTACTATGTACTAAAGTGATCAAGAATGGCCTCACTAGGCAGATCTTTGAGTTGAAGGCCAGTCTGGTCTACAGATTGAGTTCTAGGATACCCAAAGCTACACAGAGAAACCCTGTCTCAAAAAAACCAAAGAAAGGGGGGAGGTGCAAATAAGGCCATAAACAATCCAGAAGAAAATAGGTGAATATGCTTTTCATTTGATCTTGGAAGTAAGGAAAGTTGTTTTAGGGAAAAAGATAAATGATGGAACAAGGAAGGAGGAAAATGATTTGGCTATGTAAAAACTTAAAACCTTTTAAATTTTTTAAATTATGTGTATGATGCACATGTGGGTATGTACATATGTATGTGAGCATCTGGGAATGTCAGAGGCATCAGATCTGCCTGGAACTGCTAGGAAATGAACTCAGGTTCCCTTCAAAGAGTAGCATGATTGGTGGCGCACGCCTTTAATCCCAACACTCAGGAGGCAGAGGCAGGCAGATCTCTGTGAGTTTGAGGCCAGCCTTGTCTCCAGAGTGAGTGCCAGGATAGGCTCCAAAGCTACACAGAGAAACCCTGTCTCGAAAAACCAACAACAAAAAAAAAGCAAATACTCTTAACCTTTGAACCATCTCTCCAGCTCAGAATATCTTAATTAAAAAAAATAGAAAGTCTTACAAATTCACAAGGAAAAGATGAGCACCTCAAAGAAAACCAGTCAAAGGACACTAATTGGCCATTTATAAAAAATTTAATTTTTTTTTGTTTTTTTGAGACAGCTTCTGTGTAATAACTCTGGCTGTCCTGGAACTTGCTCTGTAGACCAGGCTGGCTTCAAATTCACAGAGATCTGCCTGCCTCTGCCTCCTGAGTGCTGGGAGTAAAGTTGTGTGCCACCATGCCCGGCTTCTAATAAATTCTAATAGCTAGCAAGGTAGAAGGGGTAGCACATGCCTCCAATCCTGGCATTAGAAAAGCTGAAGCAGGGGATTATCTTGAGTTCAAGGACAACCTGGCTACACAGTGAATTTGAAACCAGCCTTATCTATGTAGCAAGACCCTGTCTCAAAAAAAAAAAAAATCAAAAGAAGTCCAGTGAAATGACTCAGCAAGTAAGAACACTTGATTTGAAAGCCTGGCAACCCAACTTCAACCCTTAGAACCCATGTAAAGGTGGAAGGAAAAACCTGACTCTACAAAGTTGTTCTTTGGTCTCTTTCTCTGAGGAGTCAGACAGCTCTCTCTCTCTCTCTCTCTCTCTCTCTCTCTCTCTCTCTCTCTCTAGCTCTCTCTCTCTCTCGCTCTCTCCTCTCTTTTTCTCTCTCCCCTCTCTTCTCTTTCCCCAATCCCTTTCCTTCCCCCCAATAAAAAGTTGTTGCTCTTTGACCTCTACACACATATACTGTAATACACACACACACACACACACACACACACACACACACACTCACATGGTAACAGCAAAGTTGAAAAATGAAACAAAAACAAGTGAATAATAAACGAGAAAAACATTCAACATGACAACAGAAATCTATCCTCTGTCCGTCCTTTGTCTTTTGTCTTTTTGAGATAGACTGTCCTGTAGTCCAAGCTGATCTTACACTTGATGTATAACCAAGATGACCTTGAACTCTTTCTTTTTTAAAGATTTTATTTATTTATTATGTATACAGTCTTCTGCCTGCATGCCAGCAGGAGGCACCAGATCTCATTCAAGGTTGTTGTGAGCCACCATGTGGTTGCTGGGAATTGAACTCTGGACCTCTGGAAGAACAGTCAGTGCTCTTAACTGCTGAACCATCTCTGAAACCCAAGCTTGAACTCTTGATCTGCCTGCCTCCACTTCTCAAGTGCTGGGGGTGCAGACATAGAACAGCATCCCCAGTTTATACAGTGTTAGGGACACAATCCAGAGCTTCATCCATGCCAGGGCAGGGCTCTACCAACTGAGCTGCACTCCCAGCCCAAGAAGTGCTATTTTAAATACTGAGCTATACATTTTAATATGCATTTGTTTCACTTATACTTGGTGACAGAGAGTTTAGGGAAGCCTTTTTAAAAAAACAGTTTATGTATGTCTTAAAGAACTCAGGCTGGAGAGATGTCTCAGTAGTTGAGAGCACTTTCAGCTAACAACTGACTTTAACTACAGCTCCAGGGGATCTGGGTTCAATTTCTATCACCCACAGGACAGCTCACAGCTGTCTGTAACTCCAGTTCCTTGAAATCTGATACCTTTTTCTGGCCTCCATGGGCACCAGGCACACACCTGGTGCATAGACATATATGAAGGCAAAACAACCACACACATGAAATAAAATAAAATAAACCCAAAAGAGAATTCCTAACCAGGTCAGTGGTGTGGCAAGCCTTTAATCCCAGCACTTTGGAGGCAGAGGCAGGCAGATCTCTGTGAGTTCAAGGTCAGCCTGGTCTACAAAGCAAATTCCTGGACAGCAAGAGCTGTTACACTGAGAAACCTTGTCTCATAAAACCAAATAAATAAATAAATAAATAAAAATAATAACAAAAATAAAAGTTCTTTTAATGTAGACAGACTTCTTTATATACATATATGAAATGCTTCATGAATTTTTGTGATGTCCTTACATAGGGACTGTGCTAATATTTTCTGTATCATGTCAGTTTTAGGATATGTGCTGCCAAAAGAAATATGACACTATTTTTCTCACACTGGCTTCAAGTTCATGGCTATCCTTCTGCCTCTGCCTTCCAAGTCCATGCACATAAAACATAAAAATAAATCTAAAAAATTAATTAAATACATGCTCCAAGCCCAACTGAGTTCATTTAAGTTATACATTTAGGCTCAGTGACCACTGCAGAAGAAGGGATTGAAAGAATGTCCGAGTAGCCTGGCAGTGGTGGTTCACACTTTTAGTCCCAGTGCTCGGGAGGCAGAGGCATGTGAATCTCTGTGAGTTCGAAGCCTAGCCTGGTCTACAGAGCGAATGCCAGGACAGCTAGAGCTGTTACACAGAGAAACCCTGTCTTCAGAAACCAAGGGAAAAAAAGAAAAGAAAAAGAAATCCTACTTTGGGCTGGAGAGATGGTTCAACAGTTAAGAGCACTGGCTGCTCTTCCAGAGGTCCCGAGTTCAATTCCCAGCCACCACATAGTAGCTCACAACTATCTGTAGTAAGATCTGGTGTCCTCTTCTGGCCTGCAGGCATACACGAAGGCCAGAACATTATACACATAATAAATAAATAAATCCTTAAAAAATGTTTTAAAGCCAGGCGTTGGTGGCACACACCTTTAATCCCAGCACTCGGGA